GAAAGGCTAGGGCATCTTTCTATTTGATTGATCAGTTTGATTCTGATAGCTTGCTTCAGCAAAGCCTGGATGCATTTCCCTTGTATATATACTTCGCGGCCTTTCGTTAACACCTCGTCCATTTCTTCGGCTTCTTTGTCTATTGTTGTCTTCATTACTTGCTTGACAATCCTTGCTGCTTTCTGTTCTGAGTACGTGTCTCTGTCTACATCGTCTTGGCGTCGAAGCTTTTTTGTTGGACTTGAATGTTCCTTCTTGTATGAACCGTCGATATTTTCCTCAGAATATTTCCTTTTGGCAGAACCCATACTCGCGTAGCCGTTCATTATATCTGCTTGTTATGGTACTTCAGGTACGAATGAGAAAGGGATTTTTTTTTTTTTTTTTTTTTTTATTTTTTTTGTTTTTTTTTTTTTTTTTTTTTAACGAGGGGGGAATGCATTTACGCACCATACCATAGCACGAGCTACGACGTGTGTGGGGCTCCAGGGTCTTGAAGAGATCACCTAATACCCACTAAACCCTAAACCTCCGCGTGGCCCGACTCATCAGCGTCTCGGTAGGCCATGTGTTGTGCGTGACCTGCGGTCTGCTACAACGTCTCCTCATGTGTTTCAGTCTCTGGGAACGCCGGGTTGGTTCCCTTTACCTCGCACATTCTATCGATGTCGTTAAGCGATCATCGATAGAGGGTCTGCTAGTTTCTCTTGAAACTCTTGTTTTCGAAAAATCAAGAGTTTCAAGTCATCTTACCAATATGTTGTTCCTGGTCCTGGTCCTGAAGGGTCCTGGTCCTGGTGGGTCCTGGTCGTGGCGGGTCCTGGTCCCGGTGGGTCCTGGTCCCGGTGGTTCCTGGTCCTCTGCATCCACGCCGTGGGGGGGGGGGGAGCAGCCGCAAATTCTCCTAGTCTCCTAGTCAAGGTTCCAGTTAGCGGGTGCCAACTGGGACCTTGGTCTGGGGTACCTGGTTCTGCGGTTGCGAGGCCTCTCGTCCGGATCGTAGTCCATGAGGAATCGTAGCTGCTCGTTCGGGTGGTCCTGAGCTTTCTCGAAGGTCTTCTCCGCTTTTTTCCTCATGTACTCGTGGATGGTATCCCAATGCAGGTCTCTACGCAAGGTTGAGTTCCTTACGTAGGAAGGTGCATTGGTGGCGATCCGGAGTAGCTTCATCTCTAGAGCAGCAAGTCGCTTGCGGTAGCTGGGGGCAGCGTACCCCCAGACCGCGGAGGCGTAAGCGAGCTGAGGTCTGGCGATGGCCTTGATCAGCCGTAGCTTGGTCGCTAGCGGCATCTGGCTGTGTCTACCCAGTAATGGATAGAGTTGAGCCATGGCTGCTCTGGTTTTTGCGATGACAGCTTCTATGTGCGCTTTCCAGGTGAGGGACTTGTCAAAAACGATCCCCAGATATTTGACATTGTCGCTCCACTGGATATCTTCATCGAAGATGGATGCTTCGAGAGGTCTTGCAATCCTTCTTCGTTGAATGAAGATTGCCTGCGTCTTCTGGACGTTGATGCGGATTTTCCATTTCACGCACCAGTCCTGAATTTGGTCCAGTTCACCCTGTAGTCTCCTACGGATGATCTCGGGTCGTCTATGCTTGGCGGCTATAGCAGTGTCGTCTGCATATAGGGCCAGCACTGTGTCAGCTGTCTTCGGCACATCGTAAGTATAGATGTTGTAGAGCAGGGGGGCTAAGGCTGACCCCTGGGGCACGCCTGCTTCCAGCTGACGTCTTGTTGAATGGCATGTACCAATCTTCACCGTGAACCATCTTTGTGTTAGATAGCTCTGGATCAGTTGGCACATGTTCGCATCGATTCCGGCGGCTTCCATTTTGGCGATGAGTCCATCGTGCCAAACTCGGTCGAAGGCTCGTTCCACGTCCAGCAGGACGAGACCGGTTGCCTCCTGGAGATTGAAGCCGCTGGTGATGTTTTCCGTCAGTCGTAGCGCTTGGAGTTCCGTGTTGTGGGAGGATCTGAAGCCGAATTGCTCTGGGGGGAGAAGTTGCAGTTCTTCTGCCTGCTTCTCTAGTCGAACGGCGATAGCCTTTTCGACTACTTTGCCCACCGAGGAAACCAGGCTGATGGGCCGGTAGTTCTGGGGCAACTTCCGGTCCTTGCCTGGCTTGGTGAGCATTATAACCTGGGCTTCCCGCCACCGCCGCGGGAAGTGGTTAAGTCTCAGAGTGGCATTGGCGATGTTGGTGAGCGCAGCAATGCCTTTGGTGGGAAGGTTCTTCAGCATCCTATTGTTGATGCCGTCCCTTCCCGGCGCCTTTCTGACCTTCAACCTGCGGATGATCAGACGGATTTCCTCTGGACTGGAGGGGTGATCCGTCTCCTGGCCAGGTGGTCGACTCCTCATGTTTTCGGCTGCGACTTCCACGGCCTCCTCGTGGTTGTCGTCCTCGTCTTCACGGTAATTGAGTCTGCATTCGGATTCTAGCGAATCGGCGAATGCTTCGGCTTTTTCTTCACTGGAGTAGGCCAAGCCGCGTTGGCCGTGAAGAGTGGGGATCGTGGTGCGCTGACGACGAAATTTTCGCTGCATAGACCAGGCCGTACCATCCTGGGTCTCTAGTTCTGCACAGGCTGCATTCCATCTGTTGTTTTGGAGTTCCGCGAGTGCGTTCTTCAGAGCTAACGATGCTCTGTTTCGCGCAACTCTCGACTCCTCTGTCAACAGCTGGAGATGTTCTCGCTTGAGTCTTCTGTTCTCCCTGATCAGGTGCCTAATATGGTGCGGTGCTGGACCATTTAGGTATCTAGGAACTGCCGTAGTCTCGGAGCGGGTGCTGTCCTCGTGCGCTCGCAGGACAGCATTCTCCAGCTCCTCTACTGCGTTGTCCAGTTCCTCCGCTGATCGGATGGTTGGAATTTGAGTGATGTTCCTCTGGACGTTGGATTTGTAAAGGTTCCAGTTCGTCCGTTTGGTGCTCAAGCTATCTCGAGTTCTAGACCCTGTACCAAGTGTTAGTAGAATCGGATTGTGGTCCGACGATCCTTCCACCAGGGTCTCTATCTCGAACTCCTCTCTGATGTTGCGGAGGATGGCTATGTCCAGTACCGCAGGTCGCCCAAGGCCGAATGGAATGTAGGTTGGTTGCTCCGGACCGACGATGACCCCCGCCAGGGCATCGACGTGTTCCTGGAGCTGCCTTGCATTCCTGTCTTCGACGTTGTTGTTCCAAGCCGGAGACTTGCAGTTTAGATCTCCGATGACTATGCGTGCTCCTGGGCCTCTCAGGAGGTCCGCGATGTCATCTTGGTCTAGGGCCTCCCCTGGTGGCACATATAGGGAGGTGATTCTGTAGGGACGGTGGTTGTGATGGACCTGGACCGTGATTCCGTCCCCATTTATGTCTGCGGCATCGTCGAGGACATGACTCGTCAAGGTACGTTTGACGAGTAATGCGACTCCTCCACCTCTGCCCCTTCTGTCGTAGCGGTACGTCTCGTACCGCGGGAACGTCAGACTATGGGCAGCATCCAACTTCGTTTCTTGGATGGCCATCACCTCTGGTTGGTACTGGTCTAGTATCTCCTGGATTTCTGGTTTCCGTGCCCTGAAACCGTTGATGTTCCAGGAGATAATGCGTAGAGATTCTACGTTTTGACCTGTAGACATTTCGGGTCTAGTGCTTGTCTTGCATCTTGGCCTCGAGTGCATCCAGGCGGGTTATGATGGCTTGCATCATTGCTAGCAGTCTGTCATCGCCGTGTTGCTTCTGCGCAGTAGTTCCAGTAGCAGTGGCGGCTGCTGGGGCAGAAGTGGACATAGGCTTCTTCACTTTTTGGGCGTAAGAAGTCCTATTTGTGGTGGGGACTGCTTTGGGGGCAGAAGCAGCTTTCTTCGGCGCCTTACTACATCCCTTGTAGTTGGCGGGGTGGCCTTCTCCACAGAGGCAACACTTGGCGTTTCGTTGCCCTGTTGGCGGCGCTGGCAGACTGCAGCTGGTGCTGTTGTGGTCCTCTCCACATTTAACGCACCGTTCAGCGAGACGGCAGTTCCGCTGTGTGTGCCCGTACCGCTGGCAGCGGTAGCACTGGCTGGGCTCGGAAGACTTTTTCTTCCTCTCGAAGCTGACCGTGAGCATGGCCAGCCTCTGGATCTCTGCAAGCTTTTCCGGCATCTTCGTCTTGACGAGGAAGAGCGGAAGTGGCTTCTTTGTGGTCCTTGAGGTCAGCTGCTGAACCACGGCGTCTGCGATGCCTTGGCTCACCAGATCCTCTTTGATGTCATTGACTGACATCTCTCTCGGAAGCCCACGAATGACCCTCTGGTCCATCCTGTCCTCCTTCAGTTGATATGTGAAGAAGGGCCGCTTGATGGATTCAAGCAGTGCGACTAGCTGACGGTAGTCAGCTGGTGTATTTGTGAATACCTTCACACTGGTACCCGCCGTCCTCGCTTTGGAGAATTGAATCCCCTTGCTGTTCATCATCCTACTCAAGGATGACCAATCAGCGGTGCCCTCGATGTTGATTGGCGGAACTCCTGTTCCTGCCATGGGGGCCTCGGTGGTCCTGGTTGCTCTAGGACCACTCTTCTTTGTGGCAGCTGGCATCTTTCGCTGCCTGGGTTCTTCTTCTTCTTCGGAGGAGGAAACTCGCACCCGCTTCCTCCGTCTGGTGGCGCCACTGAAATCGGTGTCGTCCGTCCTCTTCTCCGCTTCTTCTACGTCGATATTTTGGGCATCCATGTCCAAGTTCTCCGTAGGCTGCTGGTCCTCCTCTCCGTGGTCCTCTTCTTCTTCTTCTTCCTCCGTCTTCTTAGCTTTCCTCTTTGCTTTGAGGAGCTTCCTTTTCACCTCATCGATTTCATCCCTCGCCCGCTCAAATGCTTCTTGCAGATTTTTCATCTGCTCAGCAAGCATTGCAAAATTCTCTTCTTTCTGCTTCAGCTGGCTCGCCAGCTTCTCTACTTTCGCCATCGTGGATGGCGATCGTACCGCGATGAAAATCACAGTAGGATCGCACTGTATGTCCGGGTGGGTCGCAGTCGCACGAGTGTATGCTCGTGACGGCTGCTAGCTCGGAACTGAGGGAGAAAGGGATGAAGCCGACCCCTTAATTTATACCAAACCTGTCGATTAGGGGCGTGTTGTGATTGGACGACGTAAGAAACGTTCTTGACCTATAGGAATATCCCTTTCCGCCTAATCGCCCTTTAAATGCATATTCTCAAGCCTGGATGAACGGATGACTAGGGCCCAGAAATTATAAACTTCTCATCATATTTATCAAGACTATCTGATAATTTCAAGGTCTACCTTTTTTGCAGTGTAAATGTAGGACGTATTTTACATTTTTGGAATCTGAATGAGAGCTCTACTCACAAAAATTCAATATGGCGTCCATAAGAAAAAATAAAGTTGATGCTGGAGGATAAGGGGCGGAATGTCATATTCCTAATTATATATAAAGTTAAGCAAATATAAGTTGATTTTATTTTTAATTTAAAATCAAGTTCAGTATCTAGTAACTCGATGGGCAGACTTTTAACTTTTCGTATTAACTGATTGGTTTTTGGATTGTCAGGCCGTCGTAAAATATTTTCATTTGGCGTTTCGCCAACACGAGAGGTTGGCATCTTCAGAACGTGTTCATAGTTCGGAGTCCTGTGAGCTAAAGATGCCAACCAGTCGTGTTGGCGAAACTTGAAATAAAAAATTTTACGACGGCCTTACAACCCAAAAAAACAACCAAATAACACTGAATGATGGCTGCGAAATCCTTTCGCATTTTATTTTCGTATTATTTTTGGACCGTAGAAATATGGTCGCTGTTTTTTCAATCATGAGGCCACAATACGCATAGGAAAGCTCAGCGCTATTATATCAAGATAGGTAGATTAAGTTGGTCCTTTTTTTTTGGAAATAATCACGCCTAACTTTCTATCCCTTCTGCACTGGATATCGAACCGCTTTGTAGCCCAGAATGTATCTACCAATTGATGATTTTAGGACAACAAAATACTAGATAATATTTAAAATCATTGCAATTTCTTACGTGCAACGGGTGGTAGTAATTCCCGGTCAAATATAATCAGTTTCGTCATCAAGTGAGATGACTCCGTACTCGTATTGCCCGAGTAGTGGCACTACTGATCATTGCTCGAGATATTTCACTTTTTTTTAAACGCCAAGTCTATAAAAATGTAAACAATTGCGTGGCAGTTACAGTGTCAACCTAATCTGAAATAATTTTACCTTTTCACGTGAAATATGACACATGTAAAGGGACACCTGAAATAGTGAAAGGAATTGAAACGATAAACTGTTTTAATGCGGTATATTAAAATACTTCTTTACATATATAATATTTACAATTTACTACTTAAGTCCCTCATTTATAAAACTAACATCCTTTATCAATACAACCCTTCATCGTCCGCTTCAATCATTTTTAGGCTATGCGCATTTAATAGGATCTTCAGCGCCTTTTTGAGAGCTTTGTATCTTCTATGTGCTTCTTCCGTCCTCTCTGTCTGGTATTTCAATTTTTCTTAATGCTCCTTAGCATGATCATGTATTTAACGAGCTTTTCAGCTTTACTGTTAATCTGCCTCTCCTTACAATCCTTATCATTCTCTAGAATGCTCTTGCACCGTATCAGGTACTTGATATATTCTGGTAAATAGACTGTACCTGGTTCATATATTGTGAAATTTCTTTGTTCAAAACTTCGGTCAAAGCCGATGGTTTGGGTATTACTCGTACTCTCGTAATTGCTCATACTTACAGTTGTGGATCGTATGACAGGGGGATGAAATCAGCACCCTATTTACTGCAGGCAGGGTCCATTGAGAGTACAGATAATTAGGATTTTATATTTTAGGGCATAATGCGGTTGGATCATGTCATTGTATGTCATATTATAGATTTGTGTAATCAGAATTAAAAACTTCATTCACCTGTGCATAAATCCAATGTTGCGTTTCCAAAAAAATAAAAAAAAAGATCATGCCAGTGAGGGTCGAATTTGAAACACCCGGTAGATGAGTATGAGTGAAATCAGTAAGCAGTGAACGCATTCAGCCAACGTAAAATGGACTGGCGGAGCAGCGCTTACATGCTGAATAGTAGTAGTTATGAGATAGCTTTGTCATTTCGACAGTAGTATAGACTTGACTGCCAGATTTGTTACCTAGTTTGCTGATTTGGAACACATGTGTTTTGCTAGACGTCCTAATATTTGAATTTTACGAAAAAAAAAACAAAAGCGTTCGAGAACGGTGAAAACTACCCCCTACTTTTTATTTATAAGATCCTTACTTAATTTTTTTTCTGTTAATACAGGCCATATCGCATAGTTTTCGAAAAAAAAAGGTTTTTCGGAGCTGCTTTCTAAAAAAGATTCTTATTACATCGTGTTATTTTTTTGCACCGTATTGTTATGTGCATGAACGAAAATGGCGATATTAAACACCTTTTATGAAAGATTCGCACTGTTGCCCATATTAATTTTTGTTACCTATTTTCAGTAACATGTGACACTCTGACATGAGCCAACGCAAACTTTTAGCTTGCGTGAAAATTATAGCGTTAACCGCGTGTCAAAGAATCGCTGATTTCAATTTCTCAAATGACATCATGGGAAAAGTAATGACGCATTCGTGGAGAAATTAAAACGAGAAAGTTCTGTAAATTATTTTAATAAGTAATATAATACAAAATATACAAATACGGGTACTAAAACATGTATATATAAATATTATGCATATTAGTTATCTCCCTTACAATAATTCTACTTCTACTTTTGCTTGATGATCCTGTATGAGCGTTACCAGTGATCTCCTAAGCGCTGCGTAGGTTCTAGACATGTAACGCCTCCTTTCTATTTGGTATGCTAGTTTTAACATTATTGCTTTCTTCATCAATGCCTGAATACATTTTCCTTGAATGTATGTTGGGCGGCCTTTCGTCGACACCTCTTCCATTTCTTCGGCTTCTTTGTCTATAATTGTCTTCACTACTATCTTGTCAATCCTTGCTGCTTTGTGTTTAGAGTACGTGTCTCTAGCTACCTCGTCTTGGCGAGTACTCCTCCTGGTATGAAACGTTGATATCTTCCTCCGAATACTTCCTTTGGCGGAACTAGTAATCGCGTAGCCGTTCATTATGTCTGCTTGTACTTGAGGTACGAATTTCTACCAAATCTGTCGATTAGGGGCGTGTTGTGATTGAACTACGTAAGAAACGTTCTTTCTGGCCTAATCGCCCTTTAAATGCATATTCACAAGCCTGGATTAACGAATGACTGTGGCCCAGAAATTATAAACTTGAAATTTGGTTCTCATCATATTTATCAATAATTGTGAAAAGCTAGAATATTCTTATATTTTTATTATGTACAATTACGAATACGATAAATGTGCGCAAATTTTCGTATTTAGGTAACTCAAAAATGCAGCTTCGAAAGTTTATAAATTTACGTCCGAATAGAGACGAAAGAAATTAATTTTCCCAATATCAGTGTCAATGCGCATTCCCACTACAAATAAGGTGAGGACCAAAATAAAACGATATTGGTAAAATTCGGTTTTCCTCGTCTCTCGGCGGATGTACCTTGAATTTTGAAGCTTCTTATCTCTTGTTGTTTCCGAGATCCCAAGGTTAGAAACAGTAATTCACCAAAAAGTTGGGGAAGTCATTTAATACGATGACATGATGACAGAAATAGCGGCGCACTTGTGGAGGAATTAAAACCAGAAAGTTCTGTAAATTATTTTAATAAGTAATATAATACAAAATATATAAATACGGGTACTAAAATATATATAAATATTATGCATATTGGGTATAATTATGCCCTTACAATAAATAAATACGGTTCACAGGAACAACCCTGTTTCGTCTCCTTCGTCTACTTTTGCGTAGTAATCCCGTATGAACGCTGCCAGTGATCGCCTAAGAGCAGCGTAGGTCCTAGAAAGGCTAGGGCATCTTTCTATTTGGTTTATCAGTTTGATTCTGATATCTTGCTTCAGCAATGCCTGGATGCATTTCCCTTGAATGTATGTTTCAAGGCCTTTCGTTAACACCTCCTGTTCCATTTTTTGTGCTTCTCTGTCTATTATTGGCTTCATTACTGTTGTGATAATCCTTGCTGCTTCGTGTTCAGAGGCCGTGTCCACATCGTTTTGGCGTCGAAGCTTTTTTGATGGATTTGAATGTTCCTTCTTGTATGAACCGTCGATATTTTCCTCAGAATATTTCCTCTTGGCGAAACCACTAGTCGCGTAGCCGTTCATTATGTCTTCTTGTTATGATACTTCAGGTGCGAATGAGAAAGGGATGAAGCCGACCCCTATATTTATATCAAACCTGTCGAATAGGGGCGTGTTGTGATTGGACCACGTAAGAAACGTTCTTGACCTATAGGATTATCCCTTTCCGCCTAATCACCAATGAGATTTACATCAGCTCACGCCTGGATTAACGAATGACTCGGGCCCAGAAATTATAAACCTAAGTTTTGGTTCTCATCATATTTATCAAGACTTGTGAAAAGTCAGAAAATCCTTATATTTTTATTAATACCGGGTGTTTCGAGTTCGACCCTCACACCATTGGAATCTCGGAAACGGTAAAAGATACAAAGTCGCTTGAATGAGGACAAAGCTGCGTATGTAGGTAACTCAAAAATGCCACCTGAAAAGTTCAAAAATTCAAAGTACTCCCGGAAAGACACGAAAAAATACCGCCTTTTCCCAAAATCGATTTGATAATTTTCTTGCTTTATTTGTAGTGGAATTTCAAAATGGATTTGCACATGACTTTTGTCCTTTTCTGACGCCTCGTCCCTTGTTTTTGGGTTGTCTTAAAATATCTTCATTTGACGTTTCGCCAACACGAGTTGTTGGCATCTTCAGAAGGTGTTCATAGTTCGGAGTCTTTGAGCTAAAGATGCCAACCAGTCGTGTTGGCGAAGGGTGAAATAAAAAAATTTACGACAGCGTTACAACCCAAAAACCAACCACATAACACTGAATGATGGCTGCGAAACCCTTTCGCATTTCATTTTCGTATTACTTTTGGACCTTAGAAATATGACCGCTGTTTTTCAATCACAAGGCCACACAATGCGTAGGAAATATATTCTAAACTATCGTGATTCAAGATAGGTAGATTAATTTGGTCCTTTTTATTATTTTGTTTTTGCAAATAATCACGTTAACTTTCTATCCCGCGCACCATTTTGTAGCTCAGAATGTATCTACCAGTTGATGATTTTTTGACAACAAACTACTAGATAACATTTAGAATCATTGCAATTTCTTAGGTGCAACGGGTGGCAGTAATTCCCGGTCAAATATAATCAGTTTCGTCATCAAGTGAGATGACTCCGTATTGCCCGAGTAGTGGCACTATTGATCATTGCTCGAGATATTTCTTTTTTTTATTACGCCATGTCTATAAAAGTGTAAGCCATTGCGTAAAAGTTACAGTGTCAACCTAATGTGAAATAATAACAATTTTACTTTTCACATGAAAGATGACATTTGTAATGACAAACTTGAAAAAGTGAAAGGAATTGAAGCGATATAATAAAATAAATTAACATTCTTCTTATGTTTACAATTACAATTATATATTAATATTAATAATTATATATATATATATATATATATAAATTTTTACAACTTATAACTTTATTAACTTTACGTCCCTTATTTATAATACTAACATCAGTTATCAAAACAACCCTTCATCGTCCCCTTCGATAATTTTTAAGCAATGCGCCCTTAAGAGGATCTTCAGCGCGTGTGCTGTGAGTGGCTTTGTATCTACTACGTGCTTCTTCCGTCCTCTCGGTCTGGTATTCCAATTTTTCTTTGGTGCTTCTCAGCATCATCCTCTCTATATACTTTCCCATCGTGTCTGCTGCACGTTGCTTAGAACATTTTCTACTCTCCGTATCTGAAGTTTCCTTGTCGATCGACGACTTCACGAGCTTTGCAGTCATGCTGCCTCTCCTTACAATCCTTATCATTGTCTAGAACGCTCTTGCACCGTATCATGTGTTTGATATATTCTGGTAAATAGACTGTACCTAGTTCATGTATTGTGACATTTCTTCCTTCAAAGCCGATGTTTTGTGTATATTACGCATTCAGCCAACGTAAAAAAGACCGGCGGTGCACGCTGAATAGCAGTAGCCATGGGATAGCTTTGTCATTTCGACAGTAGTATTGACTTGACTGCCAGATGTGATACCTAGTTTGCTGGAACACATGTATTTTGCTAGACGCCCTAATATTTGAATTTTACGAAAAAAAAAAACAAAAGCGTTCGAGAACGGTGAAAACTACCCCCACAACTAAATAAATTGTAGCAGAATTTTTTTTCATCTCTCCAAAGGATATTTTTTATTTATAAGATCCTTACTTGATTTTTTGTCTGTTGATACAAGCCAAATCGCATAGTTTTCGAAAAAAAAAAAGTTTTTCGGAGCTGCATTCTAAAAAATATTCTTATCACATCGTGTTAATTTTTTGCACCGTATTATTATGTGCATGAACGAAAATGGCGATATTAAACACCTTTTATGAAAGATTCGCACTGTTGCCCATATTAATTTTTGTTACCTATTTTCAGTAACATGTAACACTCTGACATGAGCCAACGCAAACTTTTAGCTTGCGTGAAAATTATAGCGTTAACCGCGTGTCAATGAATCGCTGATTTCAATTTCTCAGATGACATCATGGGAAAAGTAATGACGCATTCGTGGAGAAATTAAAACGAGAAAGTTCTGTAAATTATTTTAATAAGTAATATAATACAAAATATACAAATACGGGTACTAAAATATGTATGTATAAATATTATGCATATTAGTTATCTCCCTTACAATAATTCTTCTACTTCTACTTTTGCTTGGTAATCCTGTATGAGCATTACCAGTGATCTCCTAAGCGCTGCGTAGGTTCTAGAAATGTAACGCCTCCTTTCTATTTGGTTTGCTGGTTTTAACCTTATTGCTTTCTTCATCAGTGCCTGAATACACTTTCCTAGAATATATGTTTCGTCAACACATCTTCCATTTCTTCGGCTTCTTTGTCTATAACTGTCTTCATTACTTGCTTGACAATCCTTGCTGCTTTCTGTTCAGAGTACGTGTCTCTGTCTACATCGTCTTGGCGTCGAAGCTTTTTTGTTGGACTTGAATGTTCCTTCTTGTATGAACCGTCGATATTTTCCTCAGAATATTTCCTTTTGGCAGAACCCATACTCGCGTAGCCGTTCATTATATCTGCTTGTTAAGGTACTTCAGGTACGAATGAGAAAGGGATTTTTTTTTTTTTAACGAGGGGGGAATGCATTTACGCACCATACCATAGCACGAGCTACGACGTGTGTGGGGCTCCAGGGTCTTGAAGAGATCACCTAATACCCACTAAACCCTAAACCTCCGCGTGGCCCGACTCATCAGCGTCTCGGTAGGCCATGTGTTGTGCGTGACCTGCGGTCTGCTACAACGTCTCCTCATGTATTTCAGTCTCTGGGAACGCCGGGTAGGTTCCTATTACCTCGCACATTCTATCGATGTCGTTAAGCGATCATCGATAGAGGGTTTGCTAGTTTCTCTTGAAACTCTTGTTTTCGAAAAATCAAGAGTTTCAAGTCCTCTTACCAATATGTTGTTCCTGGTCCTGGTCCTGAAGGGTCCTGGTCCTGGTGGGTCCTGGTCGTGGCGGGTCCTGGTCCTGGTTGGTCCTGGCCCCGGTGGGTCCTGGTCCCGGTGGTTCCTGGTCCTCTGCATCCACGCCGTGGGGTGGGGGGGGGGGGGAGCAGCCGCAAGTTCTCCTGGTCTCCTAGTCAAGGTTCCAGTTAGCGGGTGCCAACTGGGACCTTGGTCTGGGGTACCTGGTTCTGCGGTTGCGAGGCCTCTCGTCCGGATCGTAGTCCATGAGGAATCGTAGCTGCTCGTTCGGGTGGTCCTGAGCTTTCTCGAAGGTCTTCTCCGCTTTTTTCCTCATGTACTCGTGGATGGTATCCCAATGCAGGTCTCTACGCAAGGTTGAGTTCCTTACGTAGGAAGGTGCATTGGTGGCGATCCGGAGTAGCTTCATCTCTAGAGCAGCAAGTCGCTTGCGGTAGCTGGGGGCAGCGTACCCCCAGACCGCGGAGGCGTAAGCGAGCTGAGGTCTGGCGATGGCCTTGATCAGCCGTAGCTTGGTCGCTAGAGAAAGGGATGAAGCCGACCCCTAGATTTATACCAAACCTGTCGATTAGGGGCGTGTTGTGATTGGACGACGTAAGAAACGTTCTTGACCTATAGGATTATCCCTTTCCGCCTAATCGCTCTTGAAATGCATCTTCTCAGACCGGGATTAACGAATGATTGGGGCCCAGAAATTATAAACTTCTCATCATATTTATCAAGACTATCTGATAATTTCAAGGTCTCCTTTATCAATACAACCCTTCATCGTCCCCTTCAATCGTTTTTCCCTTGAATATATGTCGCCTGGCCTTTCGTCAACACATCTTCCATTTCTTCGGCTTCTTTGTCTATAATTGTCTTCATTACTTGCTTGACAATCCTTGCTGCTTTCTGTTCTGAGTACGTGTCTCTGTCTACATCGTCTTGGCGTCGAAGCTTTTTTGTTGGACTTGAATGTTCCTTCTTGTATGAACCGTCGATATTTTCCTCAGAATATTTCCTTTTGGCAGAACCCATACTCGCGTAGCCGTTCATTATATCTGCTTGTTATGGTACTTCAGGTACGAATGAGAAAGGGATGAAGCCGACCCCTAGATTTATACCAAACCTGTCGATTAGGGGCGTGTTGTAATTGGACGACGTAAGAAACGTTCTTGACCTATAGGATTATCCCTTTCTCGCTCTTGAAATGCATCTTCTCAAACCTGGATTAACGAATGACTGGGGCTCAGAAATTATAAACTTCTCATCATATTTATCAAGACTATCTGATAATTTCAAGGTCTACCTTTTTTTGCAGTGTAAATGTATGACATATTTTACATTTTTGGAATCGGAATGAGAGCTCTACTCACAAAAATCCAAAATCCATAAGAAAAAATAAAGTTGATGCTGGAGGATAAGGGGCGGAATGTCATATTCCTAATTATATATAAAGTTAAGCAAATATAAGTTGATTTTATTTTTAATTTAGAATTAAGTACAGTATCTAGTAACTTGATGGGCAGACTTTTAACGTTTCGTATTAATTAATTGGTTTTTGGATTGTCAGGCCGTCGTAAAATATTTTCATTTGGTGTATCGCCAACACGAGTGGTTGGTATCTTCAGAAGGTGTGCATTGTTCGGAGTCCTGTGAGCTAAAGATGCCAACCAGTCGTGTTGGCGAAACGTGAAATTTAAAATATTACGACGGCCTTACAACCCAAAAACCAACCAAATAACACTGATTGATGGCTGCGAAAGCCTTTCGCATTTTATTTTCTTATCATTTTTGGACCGTAGAAATATGGTCGCTGTTTTTTCAATCACAAGGCCACAAAACGCATAGGAAAGCTCAACGCTATTATATCAAATTCAAAACTATCGTGAATCAAGATAGGTAGATTAAGTTGGTCCTTTTTATAATTTTTTTTTTTTGAAATAATCACGCCTAACATTCTATCCCGTCTGCACTGGATATCGAACCGCTTTGTAGCCCAGAATGTATCTGCCAGTTGATAATTTTTTGACAACAAACTACTAGATAACATTTAAAATCATTGCAATTTCTTAGGTGCAACGGGTGGCAGTAATTCCCGGTCAAATATAATCGGTTTCGTCATCAAGTGAGATGACTCCGCACTCGTCTTGACCGAGAAGTGGCACTACTGATCATTGCTCGAGATATTTCACTTTTTTTTTAAACGCCATGTCTTTAAAAGTTTGAACAATTGCGTGGCAGTTACAGTGTCAACCTAATCTGAAATAATTTTACCTTTTCACATGAAATATGACACATGTAAGGGCACACTTGAAAAAGTGAAAGGAATTGAAACGATAAATTTTTTTAATACGGTATATTAAAATACTTCTTTACATATATAATATT